TTCTTTGATTTCTTTCTTCAGAGACTTGAAGTTCTTGTCATACATATCTTTCACTTGTTTGGTTAGAGTCAAACCAAGATATTTCATATTGTTTGTGACTATTGTGAAACGTATTGTTTCCCTAATTTCTTTCTCAGCCTGTTTATCATTTGTATAAAGGAAGGCTACTGATTTGTTTGAGTTAATTTTATAGCCAGCCACTTTGCTGAAGTTGTTTACCAAGTTTAGGAGTTCTCTGGTGGAATTTTTGAGGTCACTTATGTATAGAATCATATCATCTGAAAATACTAATAATTTGACTTCTTCCTTTCTAATTTGTATTCCTTTGTTGACTTCCTTTTGCTGTCTAATTGTTCTAGCTAGAACTTCCAGTACTATATTGAATAGATAGGGAGAGAGGTGGGCAGTCTTGTCTAGTTCCTGATTTTAGTATGATGGCTTTAAGTTTCTCTCCATTTTGTTTGATGTTGGCTACTGGTTTGCTGTATATTGCTTTCACTATGTTTAGGTATGGGCCTTGAATTTTTGATCCTTCCAAGACTTTTAACGTGAAGAGATGTTGAATTTTGTCAAATGCTTTTTCAGCATCTAATCATGTGGCTTTTTTCTTTGAGTTTGTTTATATAGTGTATTACATTGATGGATTTTCATATATTGAACCATCCCTGCACCCCTGGGATGAAGCCTACTTGATTATGGTGAATGATCATTTTTATGTATTCTTGGATTTGGTTTGTGAGAATTTTATTCAGTATTTTTGCATCAATATTGATAAGGGAGATTGGTCTGAAGTTCTCTTTCTTTGTTGAATCTTTGTGTGGTTTTGGTATCAGTGTAACTGTGGCTTCATAGAACTAATTGGGTAGTGTTCCTTCTGTTTCTATTTTGTGGAATAGTTTGAAGGGTATTGGTATTATATCTTCTTTGAAGGTCTGATAAAATTCTGCACTAAACTCATTTTGTCCTGCCCATCTAGTCCTGGGCTTTTTTTTGGTTGGAAGACTTTTAGTGACTCCTTCTATTTCCTTTGGGGTTATGGGGCTGTTCTGATGGTTTATCTGATACCGATTTAACTTCAGTATTTTGTATCAGTCTAGAAAATTATCCCTTTCATACAGATTTTTCTGGTTTGTTGAGTGTAGGCTTTTGTAGTAGGATCTGATGAATTTTTGAATTTCCTCATTTTTTATTGTCTTATCTCTCTTTTCATTTCTGATTTTGTTAATTTGGTTACTGTCTCTGTGCCCTCTGGTTAGTCTGGCTAAGGGTTTATCTGTCTTGTTGATTTTCTTAAAGAACCAGCTCCTGGTTTTGTTGATTCTTTGTATAGTTCTTTTGTTTCTACTAGGTTGATTTCAGCCCTGAGTTTGATTATTTCCTGCTGTTTACTCCTCTTGAGTGTATTTGCTTCTTTTTGTTCTAGAGCTTTCAGGTGTGCTGTTAAGCTGCTACTGTATGCTCTCTCCAGTTTCTTTTTGGAGGCACTTAGAGCTATGAGTTTTTCTCTTAGCACTGCTTTCATTGTGTTCTATAAGTTTGGGTATGTTGTGCCTTCATTTTCATTAAATTCTAAAAAGTCTTTAATTTCTTTCTATTTTTCTTCCTTGACCAAGTTATCATTGAGTAGGGCCTTGTTCACCTTCCATGTGTATGTGGGCTCTTTGTTGTTTTTGTTGTTATTGAAGGCCAGCCTTATTCTGTGGTGATCTGATAGGATGCATGGGATGATTTCAATGTTCTTGTATCTATTGACGCCTGTTTTGTGACTGATTATATGGTTAATTTTGGAGACGGTACCATGAGGTGCTGAGAAGAAGGTATATTCTTTTGTTTTAGGATGAAATGTTCTATAGATATCTGTTAAATCAATTTGGTCCATCACTTCTGTTAGTTTCACTGTGTCTCTTTTATTTCTGTTTTCATGATCTGTTCATTTATAATAGTAGGGTGTTGAAGTCTCCCACTATTATTGTGTGAGGTGCAATGTGTGCTTTGAGCTTTAATAAAAATTTTTCTTTTTTATGAATGTGGGTGCCCTTGCATTTGGAGCATAGATGTTCTTCATGGTAGATTTTTTCTTTGATAAGTATGAAGTGACCTTCCTTATCTTTTTTGATAACTTTTGGTTGAAAGTCTATTTTATTTGATATTATAATGGCTACTCCAGCTTGTTTCTTGAGACTATTTTCTTGGAAAATTGTTTTCTAGCCCTTTACTCTAAGGTAGTGTCTATCTTTGTTATTGAGGTGCATTTCCTGTATACAGCAAAATGCTGGGTCTTGTTTATATATCCAGTCTATTAGTCTATGTCTTTTTATTGGGGAACTGAGTCCATTGATGTTAAGAGGTATTAAGGAAAAGTGATTGTTGCTTCTTGTTATTTTTGTTGTTAGAGCTGGAATTATGTTTGTGTGACTTTCTTCTTTTGGGCTTGTTAAAAGAATATTACTTTCTTGCTTTTTCTAGGGTGTAGTTTTCCTCCTTGTGTTTGTGTTTTCCATCTATTATCCTTTGTATGGCTGGATTTGTGGAAAGATATTGTGTAAACTTGGTTTTGTCATGGATTATTTTGGTTTTTCCATCTATGTTGAGAGTTTTTCTGGGTATAGCAGCCTGGGCTGGCATTTGTGTTCTCTTATGGTCTATATGACATCTGCCCAGGATCTAGCTTTTGTTGTCTCTGGTGAGATGTCTTGTGTAATTCTGAAAGGTCTGCCTTCATATGTTACTTGCCCTTTTTCCCTTACTGCATTTAGTATTCTTTCTTTGTTTTGTGCATTTGGTGTTTTGACTATTATGTGATCGGAGAAATTTCTTTTCTGGTCCAATCTATTTGGAGTTCTGTAGGCTTCTTGTATGTTTATGGGCATCTCGTTCTTTAGATTAGGGAAGATTTCTTCTATAATTTTGTTGAAGATATCTACTGGCCCTTTATTTTGGGAATCTTTGCTCTCTTCTATACCGATTATCCTTAGGTTTGGTCTTCTCATTTTGTCCTGGATTTTCTGTATGTTTTGAGTTAGGAGCTTTTTGCATTTTGCATTTTCTTTAACTGCTGTGTCAATGTTTTCTATGGTATCTTCTGCCCCTGAGATTTTCTCTTCTATCTCTGGCATTCTGTTGGTGACGCTTGCGTCTATGACTTCTGATCTTTTTCCTAGGTTTTCTATCTCCAGAGTTGTCTCTCTTTGTTATTTCTTTATTGTTTCTATTTCCATTTTTAGATTCTGGATGGTTTTGTTTAATTCCTTCACTTGTTTAGTTGTTTTCCTGTAATTCTTTAAGGGATTTTTGTGTTTCCTTTTAAGTGCTTCTACCTGTTTACCTGTGTTCTCCTTTATTTCTTTAAAGGAGTTATTTATGTCCTTCTTAAAGTCTTCTATCATCATCATGAGATGTGGTTTTAAATGTGAGTCTTGCTTTTCTGGTGTGTTTGGTTATCCAGGGCTTGCTGTGGTGGGAGAACTGGGTTCTGATGATGCCAAGTAGCCTTGGTTTCTGTTGCTTAGGTTCTTGCATTTGCCTCTTGCCATCTGGTTATCTCTTGTGTTAGCTGGTCTTGCTGTCTCTGACTGTAGCTTGTTCCTCCTGCAAGCCTGTGTGTTAGCACTCCTGGGAGACCAGTTCTCTCCAGGAGGAATTTGGGTATGAAGAGCTGTGGCATAGGGTCAGCTCCAGGGTGTAGACACTGGAAGGATCCTGTCCTGGGCTGTTCCTTAGTTCCTGTGTCCTGATGCCCCTGGGCAGTTCCCTCTTGGTCCAGGTATTTGAGTAGAAGTAGTGGTTTTACCTGTGCTCACAGGTGTGTCAGCACTCTTGGGAGACCAGCTCCCTCCTGGTGGTAGGTGTGTATGGAGAGCTGTGGCACAGGGTTAGCTCCAGGTGCAGATGGAAATGGGAAGTCCTTCCTAGGATTTTGATGGTGCTCTGTTGACTCTATATCGAAAGCTGGGATGGGCAAGTATCTCAATGGCTTTGAGATGTCTCATATATAGACTGTGGTCTCTTTCTCCTAATGTTTCACGGGATTGGAAAAGGCAGAATGGAACCTTGGGACTTGCTTGTGGCTTGTCCCTCTTGCAAGCCTGTGTGTCAGCACTCCTGGGAGACCAGTTCTCTCCAGGAGGAATTTGGGTATGAAGAGCTATGGCAGCTCTTGTGAGCAGGCCAGCTACCTCTCAACCAGGCAGTAGAAGCTTGAGAAGTGGATGGCTCGGGGAGAAGTGAACATTGATGGTAAGATATGCTATGTCCCCAAGGCTCTAGGTTTCTGGTACATAGTATGCAGTTCGAGACTGAGGCTCTGGGTCCCACACCAACAGGAGTGAGAGGATGAAGGCTGACAGCCATTTGAGGACAGGGGAGTAAGAAGTATGGATTAAAAATTAATCAAGTTGTGGGGTCACCAAACTCCATTCTGCTTGACCCTGTCACCTCTGTGTTCTCACCTGCTAAAAGTGGTTTAGGAGAACACCACCAAGAAGCAGAAGTGTGAACAGGTCTCTAATAGCCTTGGAAGTACTAGCCAGAATAGAGCACCTGCTAGTACCATGGTCTTTGTGCCCTAGCTCCTCCTCCCTGTATGGTTTAGTGTCCCTGCATGCCTAGAGGCCCTATTAGACAGAGGGCAAAGCCTAGGTCGTGGGATAGGACCGTGGGGTTGGAGATGCTGAAGGGTGCTGCTGAGTCCTGTGAACTGGAGTTGTGTGTGTAACCAGCCGCTAGTGTTAATGACCTTGAAGGGAGCTGAGGTTTTCTAGGCAGGAACTGCTCAGGTCGCTCTTTAGTGGGACCAATGCGGGTAGGAGGATGGGTGTGTGTGGCTCTAGGCTGAGTGTATGACCCAGTTTAAAGGTCTGGATTCCACAGGCCGGGAGAGGCAGGGCTTCTTGGCACCACCTGGACCTCTGGAGCAGATATCTTGGGTTCTGTTTGCGGAACGGTGGTCAGTAGGAGGATCTGGGTCCCGGAGGGTCTGTGTTCTTGGATGCGTTCCTCCCTGCCTGCATCCTTCAGTTGGGCGTTGAACTCGGATGTTGCAGCAGAGGAGTGCGGGGTTGGGGGGTGAGGGTGGGGGTGGGGAGCGGGGAGCAAGAGCAGGTGCAGCAGAGCAATGATGGATCTGCGGTTGGGTGAGTCACCCCATCAGGGCTGTAAGCGGTAAGCAGCGGATCTGCTTTGCTTATTGTCTGAGGCCTCAGGCAAATCTGGTCCTCTCCACTTTCCCCTTCTTTTTCCAGTCCTATCAGGACAGGAGCACAGTCACAGGCATCCTTCTGGAAAAGCTTCTGGTTTCCACAGGGAATTGGGAGTTACACTCAGAGTGAGCACAAAGGAAGGGAGAGGGACAGACTGGATCCGTGCAGGTCGGGTGAGGACCCTCCCTTACCAGAGGCTCATCAGGCTTTTCTTTAAACATTTTATCTGCTTGAGCACTGGGCTTAGCTCCATCACACCTTCCTGTGCTTCTGTTCATCTCACACGGGACTTTTTGTATTTCTCTATGTCCAGATTACTCCTTTTCATTACAGATGTGCATAAGTTATTACTAATAGTCACACCCAGTCAATACTAGGCTGTCTTGAAATCTCTTCCTAACCATTAATCCAAAACACTTGGATTTAGCCTCAGGTATATATTTTGGACAAGAGCAGAAAGCTGCCACAGTCTTTAACAAAATGTCTCAAGAATGGTCCTCAGGCCACTCAGCAGTATTCTTCCCTCTGAAGTGGAGCTGGGCTCTCATAGTTTGCGTCACTGTCAGCTGCTGTCTTCCCGCTCCTACTCAGATGCACATTAAATCCCCTTAAAGAGTTCAGCCGCTTTTCTAGTCCAAAGTCGTAGAGTTCACATTGAGCCAACAGTAAGAATGCTCAGGCCTGCCACAGCAATACCCTGTCCTCTGGTGTCAACTTCTTAGTCACTGTTCTGTTGAGGAGAAGAGATACCATGAGCACAGTAACTCTTACCAAAGAAAGCATTTTACTGGGGGATGCTTACAGTTCCAGAGCCTTATAGTCAATTATCATCACGGTGGCATACATGGCACTGGAGCAGTATCTGAGAGCTGCATCCTCATCCCCAGGCAGCAGGCAGAGGCTGAGAGAGAGAGAGACTGGGGCTTACATGGGCTTTTGAACCCTTAAATCCCACCATACCTGGTCACAAGCTTCCTCCAACAAGGCCACATCTACTCTAACAAGGCCACACTTCCTTTTTTTTTTTTGGTTTTTCGAGACAGGGTTTCTCTGTGTAGCCCTGGCTGTCCTGGAACTCACTCTGTAGACTAGGCTGGCCTCGAACTCAGAAATCAGCCTGCCTCTGCCTCCCAGGTGCTGGGATTAAAGGCGTGCACCACCACCGCCCGGCTAAGGCCACACTTCCTAATCTTTCTCAAATAGTGCCCCTCCCTGGTGACTAAGCATTCAAATATATGAGTCTATGTGGGTCATTCTTATCCAAACTACCACACAGTCCAGTTTCCCAGATATGATCTTAATATGTCCATAAAATCCTATACTCTCAACTCACACCCATATCATTATAGGGTAATAGGGTAGCTCCTTTCTTATTTCGAGGAATAAGGATTCTATCATTCTTTGCTGGATAGGTGGTGCTGGACAGATGATGGAGCCCTTTATGGCAATACATAGGCTGAAAGAAACCTGACTTATATAATATAGAGTCACTCAGAGCAGGACACACGTGATTCCAACAGTCACAGAGTTAGTGCTCAGTCAGCCATGCTGTCTTTAGGCTCACTGATGTCTCAGTAAGTCCTTGGAGTGTGAAGGGGTGAGGTGCTCCCTTGTTACTATGGGAAGAAGGTTTGGAGACACAGTGGGAAAGATGAATGGAGTTGCGGTGATATAACTGCAACCCCTGCTCCTGTCATTGGAAATGCTTTCCTAGGATCTTCTCTGTCCTTTCTTTACCTCTCTACCCAGTCCTTCAGTTGTCACCTTTCCTTCCCAATATATGTTAACAGTGGGTGTTCGTACATTTGAGACTCCAGTTCGTGATATGGTCTAAGCCTGGAACAGATGACTTGACATCTGACATCAAGACAAAGGCCTTGAGGATTAACAAGCTCAGGTTATTTGAGGCACTTGACAAATTAGTTCCTGTTCTTAGGCTATTTCTTCCCAGTGAAATTCGTTGAACACTGTTTGATATGAGCAAGCCAGGGACCAGAAAGTATGCCTGCCACAGTGATCAGGAATAGGACATAGACACTTGTGGAGACCAGAGGTGTCAGCAGGCCCTCTTAGAGCTAGAATTATGGGAGACTGTTCACCACCTCATGAGGTGTTGGGTCCCCAATTGAACTTGGGTCCTCTGCTGTGCAATGTGCTCTTTGAACTGCTGAGCTGTCTCATCAGCTTAATTGCTAAGAGAAAATAATTTTTCTTATTTTAGATTTATTTCTTATTATTTGAGGATTTCTTACATGCATATACATATTCTGATCAAATCTACCACATATTCCTCCAGCTCCTCCTCTATTCCCCTCCTACTGCCTGCAGCCACATTCCACACAGGATTCCACCCAAGTGTGCTTCTTCTAAAACCCACTAGGTCCACATAGTACTACCCGAGTGTGCTTGGATGTAGGGTTGTCTATGGGAGCATGAACAGCTCCTCAGGGGCTGTCTTCCTGAAGAAAATGGATTCTTCCCTCCCCACACCTGTGCGTGACCAAGGACTCCTTAGAGGTGGGACTTAATGAGCCCTTCACCATCCATGCTGGGATTTTTCAGTCAGTGGCTTTTAAGAAAACTGTGTGTGTGCCTATGAGTACCAGTACAAGGCACCAGATGTCCTCTGTCATCACTCTTTACAGATTCCTTTGAGGTAGGGTCTCTCTGATCCTGAGGGTCAATTTCCTCAGTTAGGCTGGAAAGCAACAAACCCCAGTGGTCCTCCAAGAATTTACATGACCCTGTGGAGAGTATCAACAGCATTGTGCTAAGTAAGCAGTCAGACAAGGCTGCACATGTGTCTTGTGCCTCCTATGTAGATGAGGAAGGAAATGAAGGGGCATAGATAGTAAGGGGGGTGATCAAAGTCTAAAATAGGCACATTTTATTAGATAGAAATTATACTCCAAAGAAGGTTTTTTTTTTTTTTGTTGTTTTTTTTTAAAGCTGGTGGTGGCCTACACCATAGATGATCTCTGAGTCTGAGGCCAGCCTGGTCTGTAGAGTAAGTTCCAGGATGGCCAGGGCTACAGAGAGAAGCTCTGTCTCAGAAAACTGAGCAAAAAAGTTTTTTAAACTTTTATTTCATGTGTATGTGTATTTTGTCTGCATATATATCTATGTACCATGTGTATTCAATGCCTGTGGAGACCAGAAGAGGGCATTGGATACCGTGGGACAGGGTCAATGACAGTTGTGAGCTCACAGGTGGATGTTGAACCTTGGTTCTCTGGAAGAGCAGCCTGTGCTCTTAACTGTCGAGCCATCTCTTCAGTACAAAAATTAAAAAGGAGCAACCATTTCAAGATTGACAGATACTTCTGTCAGATTTCTCTATATCTAAACTAGTAACTACACAAGGCGAGTGGGCAGAACATAGTGAGAACAAATAAAGTTTGAATGTCACCTTCTCATTATATGATTTTAACATCTTTTAGAACTCAGTTGCTCCATTGTGGGAGGATTTGGAGACATGGAGAGAAAACATAAGAAGTGACAAATGCGATGGCTCAGGGGACAAAGGCTTTTGTTGTCAAAAGTGATGAAAGGAGAAATATGACCCCCACAACTTGACCTCTGACCTCATTCACAAGTACACACACATACAACTAAATAAATCCATACAATGTTAAATACGAAGTACAGGTAGGTGAAAAGTGAAAGTTACTGGCTTGGACAGGGAGAGGCAAGCATTTTTAGACATAAGACTTAAAACATGTCACATGAGTATGGGAGTGCATGTAATGGTCAGAGGACAATGTGGTCTCCATCCTTTTCTTTTCCTTGTTTGAGACAGACTGTCTTCTGTTCTTCCTCACTGTGTGTGCCAGGCTAGCTGGCCTGTGAGCTTTCATGGATTTTCCCATTTCTCTTCTCCCACCTTGTCATAGGAGTGTTGGAAATATCCGATGTCTGGTTTTTACACAGGCTCTGGGGATATGAACTGAGGTCCTCATGCTTGTGTGGCTGTGGCAGAAACTTCACCAACTGAGTTCTTTCTCCAGAGCTGGCAAATGAGACTATTTACACATATGTCTTTTAGGAGTATTTGGACTTGATTATGAGAACATATAACTTTGAGAGACATCAAAATCATCTGAAGTATTGGGGTCATAGGTCGGTGGTGGAACACATCATCCCTGGGTTTCAACCTTCACATTGAGAAAATTTCACTAGAAAAGATGAGTTGCTATCCCTGTGGATGTAAGCATACAGGGCCAGAGGGGCAGCTGGTCCTGTAATGGAGCCAGCAGTGACACTAAGATATTTCACTTTGGTTTATTTCAGTTTACCACAGAGGGAGTGTTCAGTGGTATGAGAATGTGAGGGCCTAAGGGGACCCTAAAGGTTTAGGGGAGCAGCTGTAGTCATGAGTTGGAGGGGAACAACCTTCTTTCCTCTCTATGTGCTCAGTGGGGCTGGGGCTCTAGCCAGGACTGGGGCTGCCTGAGATACAGTGGTGGCTGCAGATCGCAGGATGACCTCTGGATCTCAGGAGAGGCCCAGAGGGGAGTAAGGCCCAAGAAACAGATGAGTAACTGGATCCTGTGCTGCTGTTTTTCAGGAAGACTGAAACGCTACTCCCTTCACCGTGGAATCCTTCCCCTCATAGTGCTTGTCTTAGTCTTCTTTGGGTAAGAATCCAGGCTGGTGAGGAAGGGCTGAGACCCTGATCTGTGTGCATCTCTCCTAGCACAGCAATGATGAGGGTGCTCTTGGCATGGCACCCATAGTGGCATGACCAGCAAAGCTCTCTACATAGTGCAGCTGCTGATTCCACAAAAGGAGGCTGGGCTAGATGCCGGTCATTTGGCTTTAACTGTGAGGGTGGGTCTGGGGAAGGAGAAGAGCGCAGGTCTGGGGGTAGTAGACTTCAGCCCTCTCTCAATGCAAGTAAGTCCTCAGAGAGCAAGACACTGCCATGTCTACTGGGGCTTCTGTAGACACAGCCAGGAAATAGTCTTTGAAATAGTCTTGGGTTGTAGATGCCTGGCACAGGCACAGAGTAGGGGCTATCCGCTACAGTCGTCCAGATATAGGCCTTGTTCCCAGGGCACTTCCTCTTTGCCATCTTTTCTTCCAGTGGGTGAGCATGCTTACCCTTTCACCTGACCCAGCAGGTCCACTGGGATCTGTGCTCACTGTGTTGGATTCAGTGGTGCATTTGGAGGGAGGGACAGCCAGCCAGTGTCAGGTCTGTGTCCTGAAGAGCTGCTCCTGTGCATATCCTTTCTACAGCTATGTGTTCCTGAGCCTCAGAAGCCAGGAATTGGGGCACCCAGGAGCTGTGACTAGGTGAGTGGGAATTGAGAGAGAGGGAGAGGCAGAGAGGGAGAGAGGGAGAGGGAGAGAGAGAGAGAGAGGGAGAGAGAGAGAGAGAGGTATATATGTGTGTCCTATGTTTGTATGTGTGTGTCATATGTGTGATGTGTGCATGTGATCATGTGTAGGGGGAATAGATTCCTGGCTGGATGAATTTTTTGCTGCATGCTGCCTTGTGACTTTTGCCTATTTATATACCACCTCTCTGCATGGATGGCTTTAGACCTTCTCTATGCTGCCCAGAGTAGCTTCTGCTGCCCCCTGCTGTCTTTAATGGGCATTGTCTTCTTCTTTGGCTTCAGCCTCATCCTCCCTCTGTACCTGCCTGGGCAGCTCTAAGAACAGCTTCTGCTCCTCACCCAGCTCCCCAGCAGTCTGCCTAGTGCAATGTCTTTTGCCTTCTACAACCAGACCCAAACTGTAGACCCTCTTCATCCCCACTGTTTCCAGATCCTGTCAGTGTCTTTTGGGAAGGCATCCCCTGGCTTTGCCTGCTTTCCGGAGCCTTCTGTGGCCTTGCACCAGCTACATGTTTGTCTATTTTAACCCTACTTTCCTTCTGGTAGCTACTGATCCTTCACAACAGAAGGCAGGAGGCTTTCTGAGATTGGATCCTCCCTGTTAGCACTCTCCAGCACCCGGTCCCTCTGTGTTCCCTCACAAGCCATGCATGCTATTGAATTGGGGCTCTGGCCTTGGTTTTTGTCTATGCTTTGCTTCACAAAGACTACACAGCCTCCCAACCACCTTTTGTTCTTTTCTCACCAGTTCCCTCTTATGTCAGCTTTGCACTGCTGTAAGACACTCACCTTCATTTCTGTTGGGAGACAGTCACATCTTTTATGGCTTTTTCTTTAGAGGTCCCTGGTTTTAAGTGTATTGTGTGTTGCCTGCTTTTATATCTGTGTACCACATTCATGCCAGTGCCCAAAGAGGCAGAAAAGGGCCCGAGGTCCCCTGGAACTGGAGTCGCAGACTGCTGTGGGTCTCCATGTGAGTGCCGGGAACCAAACCCAGAGTTTCTGTGAGATTAGCCAAGGCTTTTTCTGCTGAGCATCATTCAACCCTGCTCTCTGGTTTGCACACCATCATAGTGCATGCAGCTTGCTAGCAGAAGTGGCTCTTGTCCCTTGGTGATCGGTGTCTTGTGTAGGGACTGCTCACTGCCGCACAGTGCCCTAGGCGTTTGGTGGGAATTCCTTTACACTGATGATGGGACAGCGAGGACAGGACCAAGGCAGGCTGTAGGCCCAGGTGGGAAGCTGAGCATGCTCAGTTTTCTCCAGCCTGTGAATTAAAGTAATCCTTAGATCTCTCAGGGCTGGGCATGGGGATGTGATCTCCTCTCCCTACCTTATGTCAAGTAAGAGTGTGATCTTCCTGTTTTGGTTCATCCTTGGATCCCAGGATCATGGGCAGACAGGGTGGCTTACTTGCAGCTGCTCATAAAGGTCTGTTTGCCTGGTGCGTGGCTGCCAGTGACATGCATCAATGACCTTCCTGTCAACTTGAGTTCTGGTGTTTTCTTTTTCAGGAAGGCCAGTCCCCAGCCAAGGGTGCTAAACCCCACGTGAGTAGATTTAGTCACTGTATGTGTAGTGCAGGAGTCCTAAAGGCACTAAAGAATCATTTACTTCCCTGGCGGAATAGTTCAGTAGCAAACCTGAAGGCCTGAGTTTGTCTCAGGAAAAAACTAAACTCAGAAGAAATCAAAGACCTGATTATAATTCTCCTTGACCTTGCTTAACCAACTGTTTTAGGGTCTTAGGGGTATCTGATTCAGGTCTGGAGTCCAGAGCATGTTCTGTCTCTTCTTTCACATTTGGGCTTCTGCTCTTTATTTTCTGTTTCTATTATCAGGGAGTTTTAGAGATGTGGAAGGTGTGGTGGTAGTAAACCTAGTTGCTTTTATGGCTGGGGTTGGGATAGTCAGTGAGAATTGCTGCTGGTTGGCACAATCCCATTCTGGGTGGGTGATCAGCCCTGGGAGAAGCTGAGTGTGTGGTATCTGAGAAGGGTTCCTGCAGGCATGTTTGGTCACATGTTGCCGGTGGTTCTCTCCTCATGTAGTAGGAAAGATGTTCTTGTCTTGTCTCCTTGGCTGGCTCCCATCATCTGGGAGGGGACCTTCAACATCGACATACTGAATGAGCAATTCAGGCTTTGGAATACCACGGTTGGACTGACTGTGTTTGCCATAAAAAAGTAAGCATCTTGGGATGGAGAGATGGCTAGTGGGTAAAGCACTTGCTTCAAGGACATAAGGACATGAATTTTATCCCTAATACCCATGGAAAAGCTGGGAATAGTGGCATGTATTTGCATTCTCAGCACTGTGGGTAGAGCGGAGAGATAAGTGGATCCAACCCACTTGTTGGACAGGCTAGCCAAACTGTGAGCTTTTGAGTCAATGAAGGGACCCTGTCTGAAGAACAAAATGAATGACAGAAGATACCCAAAGTCAACTTCTGGCCTTTAGGTATACACACAGGCAAGCAAACATGAATATACACAACACATGTGCATACACTCTCACATATGCACACACAATGGTCAAGTGGAGGCACAGGCACACCAAGCTCCATGCTTGTATTTAGGATGAAGTAGGGGAGAGGTTTGTTTACTCTGCCATCTTCCTGAACTCTGGTGGGCTCACAGGTGAATGAACCCAGCTCTGTCTCCTCCCAGAGCCTCAGGTCAGCTGTCCTTCCCACTGTGTTCTCAGCCAGGTGCCATGTGTATCTGTCAGCACCCATTTCAGGTTGGTCTCTTCATTCCTAGGGCTGGCAGGAAGGAACGGGATGCCAGCAGAGCTGTGACTTCTGATGTGCCCTCAGATGCAGGACAAGGTGGACATCAAGGATTGGGTGGAACAGTTATCCTCAGCCCTTGGGACAGTGGGCAGTAGTAGACCTGTGAAGCCCTGAGACTCTGGGTCAGGCTGACTTTAGGCCACAGGCAAGAACTGTGCCCTGTGGGAGCCTGTGGGAAGCAAGACAGGGCAACATTACAGTGTGAAAGGCTGTGGGTGCTGAGAGATTCCATTTGTGCTGCCTGCACATGAGGATTGTGTTTCCCTGAAGTCTGGGTGAGCTCCAAGGATAGTTCTGAAGCCTTTGAACCAAGCAAACTTGAGAAATGTTTGAGGCTTAGTTGGAGGGATCTTAGGCACCTTGAGAATGTCTGGAGCTCCTAGGGACAAAGCACTTCAAAGTAAGAAGACACAAACACTACCTTGTTTGGGTGCTGCTGGGTATATCAGCAAGAACGCTGCCAGGTGTGGGTAGCTTTGTCTGTGGAAAGAAGGCCTCTGAGGGGACTATCTGGGCACCCCATGGCCACCTTTATTCAGGGAAAACTGCCACTTGCATGTTACTGACATTTAAGTGGGGGCTTTGCACATTTGCCCTGTTCCCATGGTAGGGACACATGGCCCTGGGGGTTGTTCAGGGATGGGCAGCCATCTGAAGCAGGTGAAGTCTCGGGCTGGGAGATGGCTTAGAACTGGGTTCTAAGGCTTTTGCCCTTGGACCAAGGGTTTGTTTTAGGCTTGCCCTTGTTTCTAGGTTGCCTTTCATCCCTTTTCAGTCTACTCTGTGAGTCCAATTCTTGTTCTGGTGGAGTTCATGGGGGATGACCCTTCGGAACATACATGAGTTACCGAGTGCCTTTTCTACAGGCACCATAAATCTTCTGAGGTGGAAGGTCTGGAATATAGAGACCCATTTCTTTCCTGAGACAGAGTCCTGCAGCATGTCACAAAGGAGGGGTGCAGGTGCCAGGCCCTTAAGGATCCATTCAGTTCCACTAGGGTTTAAAAGTGGAGCTCTATGCACAGAGCCTCTGCTCAGGTCAATGCAAGTGTATGAGGTGTGGAATGTACTGGGATGGAGCTGTCATTATTCGAGGGTGTGTGTGACAGACTCATAGAGAGGTGGCCTGCTACAGAGTTGCCAAGACAACAGATACCTGTGGCAGATATGCCTGGAACTCCAGTTGAGGAATCAGTCCTGCTGCCTGGCTTAAAGCTTCCAGGGTTCTAGCTCAGTGGTTTTTGCTAAGATGGGCTGCTGATGTTGTAGCCTTCTGCAGAAAATGAGGGTAAGGTCAGATACACCCTGAAGACTGGTGAGAACAGCTGTAAAATCGGGGGACCAGTCATCCGGGTAGCTATGGTTTCTGCAGCCTGGGCCTATGCCCTGATAAGTCTTGTTCTAGCTGTATTAAACCTCTCCATACCCCTTTGTCCTCCCTCACAGGTATGTGGTGTTTCTTAAGCTGTTCCTGGAGACGGCAGAGCAGCACTTCATGGTGGGACATAAGGTCATCTACTATGTCTTCACTGACCGGCCAGCGGATGTGCCACAGGTGCCGCTGGCTGCAGGACGGAGCCTGGTGGTTCTAACTGTGCGCAACTACAGCCGCTGGCAGGACGTGTCCATGCACAGGATGGAGATGATCAGCCTCTTCTCAGAGCGGCGCTTTCTGCATGAGGTAGATTACCTGGTGTGTGCAGATGTGGACATGAAGTTCAGTGACCATGTGGGTGTGGAGATTCTCTCAGCACTCTTTGGCACCCTGCATCCTGGCTTCTACAGTAGCAGCCGAGAGGCCTTTCCCTATGAGCGACAGCCAAAGTCCCAGGCCTACATCCCCAGGGATGAGGGTGACTTTTACTACATGGGAGCCTTCTTTGGAGGGTCAGTGGTGGAGGTGCGCCATCTCACCAAGGCCTGCCACGAGGCTATGGTGGAGGACCACACCAATGGTATTGAGGCCGTGTGGCATGATGAGAGCCATCTGAACAAGTACCTGCTTTACCATAAGCCTACGAAGGTGCTGTCCCCAGAGTACATGTGGGACCAGCAGAAGCTGGGCTGGCCTTCCATCATGAAGAAGCTGAGATATGTGGCTGTGCCCAAGAACCATCAGGAAATCAGGAACTGATAGCTGAATTCCTATTGGAGAGGACAGGCTGATAGCCAGGTGGCACTCCAGCCTGTGCTGAAACTGAAAGGATTTGAGAGACAATTGTCACCCTCTACCTCAGAGTACAGCCGGCCCAGTATCACTTCACTTACCACACCTGAGCCCTGGAGTGGCAACCACCTTCAGCTCTTCTGTTTGTCTCTAAGCTCCTTGTGTTGAGTGACATGGTAGATGGAGCCTTCAGAACATGGAGAAACTTTGTCACCTGAGGGCCTGTGAATCCTCACTCAGGCTCATTCCCTCCTCTGCTGTGAGGACTGACAGAGGGCCAGTGCCCTTAGGAACAGGTGGGAGGGCAGGAGCGCCAGCCTGCAGTCCACAGAGGCGCTTAGCTCCTTTTCAGCTCATTAGGGGCAGATCAGCACTCTGTGCCCGTCACCTCTACTCAGGTTTGGTTTATTTGGGAATAGTTCGTTATCCATTTCTGGGAATAAGTGCATTTCTAGGTGATATAGGAAGTTTTTAGTTCCTTTTCCTTTGTTCTTTTTTTGAGGTACTTGGGATTGAACCCAGGGCCTCATGGATGTTACTCAGGCATGCTACCACTGAGGTGTATTCCCTCAAAACTCTATCTTAGAGACACATACTGATTGAACTTGCTGAGTGCTATACCTGCTAGATTATTTTTGTACTCTGGCCTTTATTTAACATTTCCAATATAAGGGGTTTTTACTTTTTTTTTCTTTTGTAGTGTTGGAATCAGATTCGGTTTCCAGTCTCAAAATTTATATTTTTGGGGGTTGTGGTAGAGTATTGTTGCTTGTTTTCTATTGGTAAGCTCTCTAGTAGTTCAAGCTGGTTTCAGCTTTACTATGATGGCCTTGAGCTCCAGATCCTCCTGCATCTACCTCTGTCGTGCTGTGACTACAAGCAAGCCACCATGCCTAGCTCTGCTGGTCTCAGTTTTCTAAAATCCCATTTATCTTGTTTCAAAATGGTTCCTGAGCACTGAAATACTTTGTGTGCTTGTCTGGTTTTTCACTTTTTACATTTGAGAATTTTGTCTTTCTGTGACAGGATTCCTATGTGAATGAATACCATGTGTGTTCTATTGTGATTGGGTTACCTCACTCAGGATGATATTTTCTAGTTCCATCCATTTACCTAAGAATTTCTCAAATTCATTGTTTTCAATAGCTGAGTAATATTTCATTATGTAAATGTACCACATTTTCTATATCCATTCCTCTGTTGAAGGACATCTGGGTTCTTTCCAGTTTCTAGCTATTATAAATAAAGCTGCTATGAACATAGTGGAGCACGTGTCCTTGTTATTTGTTAGAGCATCTTCTGGGAATATGCCTAGGAGTGGTATAGTTGGGTCCTCAGGTAATGATATGTCCAATTTTCTGAGGAACTGTCAGACTGTTTTCCAGAGTGGTTGCACCATCTTGCAATCCCACCAAGAATGGAGGAGTGTTCCTCTTTCTCCACATCCTTGCCAGCATCTACTATCACCTGAGTTTTTAATCTTAGCCATTCTGACTGGTGTGAGGTGGAATCTCAGGGTTGTTTTGATTTGCATTTCCCTGATGACTAAGGATGCTGAACATTTCTTTAGGTGCTTCTCAGCCATTTGCGTTTCCTCAGTTGAGAATTCTTTGTTTAACTCTATACCTGATTTTTAAATAGGGTTATTTGGTTGTCTGGAGTCTAATTTCTTGGCTTCTTTGTGTATATTGGATATTAGTCCTCTATTGGATATGGGACTGGTAAAGATCTTTCCCCAATCTGTTGGTTGCCGTTTGTCCTATTGACAGTGTCCTTTGCCTTATAGAAACTTTGCAATTTTATGAAGTCCCATTTGTCAATTCTTGATCTTAGAGCATATGCCATTGGAGTTCTGTTCAGGAACTTTTCCCCTGTGCCCAAGTATTCGAGGCTCTTCCCCACCTTCTCTTCTATTAGTTTCAGTGTATCTGGTTTTACGTGGAGGTCCTTTATCCACTTGGACTTCAGCTTTGTACAAGGAGATAAGTATGGATCGATTTGCATTCTTCTACATGTTGTCCCTCAGTTGAACCAGCACCATTTGTTGAAACTGCTGTCCTTTTTCCACTGGATGGTTTTAGCTCCTTTGTCAAAGATCAAGTGACCATAGGTGTGTGGGTTCATTTCTGGGTCTTCAATTCTATTCCATTGATCTTCCTGCCTGTCTCTCTACCAATACAGTTTTTATCACTATTGCTCTGTAGTATAGCTTGAGGTCAGGGATGGCCTTTCCTCCAGAAGTTCTTTTATTGTTGATAATAGGTTTTGCTATTCTGGTTTTTTTGTTATACCAAATAAATTTGAGAATTTCTCTTTCTAACTCTGTGAAGAATTGAGTTGGTATTTTAATGGGGATTGCATTGAATCTGTAGATTGCTTTTGGCAAGATGGCCATTTTTGCTATAATTAATCCATTAATCCTGCCAATCCATGAGCATGAGAGATCTTTCCATTTCCTGAGATCTTCTTTGATTTCTTTCTTCAGAGACTTGAAGTTCTTTTTTTTTTTTTTTGTTTTTGCTTTTGTTTTTCGAGACAGGGTTTCTCTGTGTAGCCCTGGATGTCCTGGAACTCACTCTGTAGACCAGGCTGGCCTTGAACTCAGAAATCCGCCTGTCTCTGCCTCCCAAGTGCTGAGATTAAAGGCATGCGCCACCACTGCCCGGATATTAGTCCTCTATTGGATGTGGACTTGAAGTTCTTGTCATACAGATCTTTCACTTGCTTGGCTAGATTCACACCAAGGTATTTTATATTATTCGTGACTATTGTGAAGGGTGTCATTTCCCTAATTTCTTTTTCAGCCTGTTTATCTTTCACGTAGAGGAAGGCTACTCATTTGTTTGAGTTGATTTTATAACCTGCTCATTGCTGAAGTTGTTTATCAGGTTTAGCAGTTCTCTAGTGGAAGTTCTGGGATCACTTAAGTATACTATCATATCATCTGCAAATAGTGATATTTTAACTTCTTCTTTTCCTATTTGTATTCCTTTGACTCCTTTTTGTTGTCTAATTGCTCTGGCTAGGACTTCCAGTACTATATTGAATAGGTAGGGAGAGAGTGGGCAGCCTTGTCTAGTCCCTGATCTTAGTGGGATTGCTTCAAGTTTCTCTACACTTAGTTTGACGTTGGCTACTGGTTTGCTGTATATTGCTTTTACTATGTTTAGGTAGGGGCCTTGAATTCCTGATCTTTCCAAGACTTTTACCATGAAGGGATGTTGAATTTTGTCAAATGCTTTCTCAGCATCTAGTGATATGATCATGTGGTTTTTTTTCTTTGAGTTTGTTTATATAGTGGATTACATTGATGGATTTCCGAATATTGAACCATCCCTGCATTCCTGGGATAAAGTCCACTTGATTGTGATGAATGATTGTTTTGATGTGTTCTTGGATTTGATTTGCTAGAATTTTATTGAGTATTTTTGCGTCAATATTCATAAGGGAGATTGATCTGAAGTTCTCTTTCTTTGTTGGGTCTTTGTGAGGTTTAGGTATGAGTGTGATTGTAGCGTCATAGAACGAATTGGGTAGTGTTCCTTCTGTTTCTCTTTTGTGGAATAGTTTGAAGAGAATTGGTATTAGGTCTTCCTTGAAGGTCTGGTAGAATTCTGCACTAAAACCATCTGGTCCTGGGCTTTTTTTGGTGGGGAGACTTAATGTCTGCTGCTATTTCTTTTATGGGTTATGGGCCTGTTTAGATGAGTTATTTGTTCCTGATTTAACTTTGGTACCTGGTATTTGTCTAGAAAATTGTCCATTTCATCCAGATTTTCCAGTTTTTTGAGTATAGGCCTTTGTAGTAGGATCTGATGATTTTTTGAATTTCCTCAGTTTCTGTTGTTATGTCTCCCTTTTCAGTTCTGATCTTATTAATTTGGACACTGTCTCTGTGTCCTCTGGTTAATCTGGCTAAGGGTTTATCTATCTTGTTGATTTTCTCAAAGAACCAACTCCTGGTTTTGTTGATATTTTGTATAGTTCTTTCTGTTTCTAGTTGGTTGATTTCAGCCCTGAGTTTGATTATTTCCTGATGTATACTCCTCTTGGGTGTATTTGCTTCTTTTTGTTCTAGAGCTTTCAGGTGTGCTGTCAAGTTGTTAATGTGTGCTCTCTCCAATTTCTTTTTGTAGACACTTAGAGCTATGAGTTTTCCTCTTAGCATTGCTTTCATGGAGTCCCACAAGTTTTGGTATTATGTGTCCTCATTTTCATTAAATTCTAAAAAGTCTTTAATTTCTTTCTTTATTTCATCCTTTATTAAGTCATCATTGAGTAGAGCATTGTTCAGTTTCCACTTGCATGTGGGTTTTCCATTGGTTTTGTCATTATTAAAGACCAGCCTTAGTCTGTGGTCATCCGATAGGATGCAAGGGATTATTTCAATCTTTTTGTATCTGCCAAGGCCTGTTTTGTGACCAATTATATGGTCTACTTTGGAGAAGGTATTATGAGGTGTTGAGAAAAAGGTATATTCTTTTGATTTAGGATGAAATGTTCTATAGATATCTGTTAAATCCATTTGGTTCACAACTTCTATTAATTTCAGTGTGTCTTTGTTTAGTTTCTGTTTCCATGATCTGTTCATTGCTGAGAGTGGGGTGTTAAAATCCCCCACTATTATTGTGTGAGGTTCCATGTGTGCTTTGAGCTTTAGTAAAGTTTCTTTTATGTATGTGGGTGCCCTTGTATTTGGAGCATAGATGTTCAGAATTGAGAGTTCATCTTGGTAGATTTTTCCTTTGATGAGTATGAAGTATCCTTCCTTATCTTTTTTGATTACTTTTGGTTGAAAGTCAAATTTATTTGATATTAGAGTGGCTACTCCAGCTTGTTTCTTGGGACCATTTGCTTGGAAAATTGTTTTCCATCCTTTTATTTTGAGGTAGTGTCTGTCTTTGTCACTGAGGTGCGTTTTCTATATGCAGCAAAATTCTGGGTCCTGTTTACATAGCCAGTCTGTTAGTCTATGCCTTTTTATTGGAGAATTGAGTCCATTGATGTTAAGAGATATTAAGGAAAAATGATTGTTGCTTCCTATTATTTTGGTTATTAGAGGTGGAATTATGTTTGTGTAGCTATCTTCTTTTGGGGTTGTTGGAAGATTACTTCCTTGCTTTTTCTAGGTTGTAGTTTCCTTCCTTGTGTTGGCGTTTTCCATTCATTATCATTTGAAGGGCTGGATTTGTGGAAAGATATTGTGCAAATTTGGTTTGTCATGGAATATCTTGGTTTCTCCATCTATAGTGATTGAGAGTTTTGCTGGGTATAGTAGTCTGGGTTGGCATTTTTGTTCCCTTAGGGTCTGTATGATATCAGTCCAGGATCTTCTGGCTTTTATAGTCTCTGGTGAGAAGTCTGGTGTAATTCTTATAGGTCTGCCTTTATATGTTACTTGACCTTTTCCCCTTACTGATTTTAGCATTTTTTTCCTTTGTTTTGTGCATTTGATG